AGAGACAAATAAGGAGATGGAACCGAGAAAAAGCAAAGAGATTGAGATCTGAGAAAACAAACCTTGGACTCTGGCTCTGTGGAAAATGGGATGGAATAATAGCTTTGTGATTATGCTGGTCGATTCCTGCAAGACTTTTCCCGACCGGATTGACCCCTGTTTATATAAGCAACTGAGTGTGAGACCAAGATTCTGTTATTCGTCGATGCTGCCGACATCTTCTATGTCGTGGTGTAAATTAAACTTGAATTGAAAACCAACAATCGTCCTCCACATCAACCTTATCAAAGTCAACTCGATTTATGTTTGAAGAATTTAAATTATTTTAAAATGCCAATTAATATAAAGTATATATGAGATTTTTATTTTATAGTTGAATTTAGTTACATCGCAAAATAAAAATAATTAAATAAAGGAGGATTGTAATATCAAAGAAACTTACTCAACAAACATTAATATATAGTTTAATATAATTTAAATTATATAGCAATTTAAATATATGTATCATAAAATATTAGATAATTATATATATTATTATAATATATTTGGATTAAAGAGAAAGGAAGAAAAAAAGAGAATGCATTTGTGCCTTTGGATTAAGTGGCGTCAAACCATACATAAATGTATTTCTTCGCTTTAGGGCAACCGTTCAAATTCAGTTTTTGTAAATTTGTTAAAAAAAAAAAAAGAGAATGAAGAAGAGAGGAAAATTTTTTAATTAATCTAATTATAAGGTTTTAAAATATTATAATTTAATTAGTAAAAGGTTTTTTCCTTTTCTTTTTTTTTTTCTTTATTTCTTTTGCAGCAATATAATATTTGCACTATAAATTATAAGAATTAATTTTATTTATTTTTAGTATGGGAATAAATGTTTGCTGAAGTTTAAGAAAGAACTCTACCAATTGCATTCAAATAAGTTAAAATTTTTTAAATCCAACACTTAAACAACACTCAACATGATCTAACATCTCATTCAATCCATAATTTCTTTGCTTCTTGATTTATGAAATAAAATATGGATGTTCATGAAAAAAAATGAAATAAAATATGGATGAATTTCACATAAAAAAAAATACATCACATTCAATTTTTATTAATGAAAATACTTCAAATAACTTAACTTCTTTTTTTGAACAATTTACAATTTGAGAGATTAAGAGAGGAAAAATTTTTAAAGTATTAGTGAGATTCAAAACCCTAACCAATTGATCCAAATTCAAATGACTTAAAGATTTGTGATGAGTTAAATTTACTCTAATAAGAGTATTAGTCAATTCAAGTAATATAATGATGAGAATAAAGTATCGTCCCACAGAGATTGTAAATTATTTAAGTGCAAAAAAAAACTAATTTTAATTTTATTTGAACAATTAAAATTAAATGATTTAAATAAAGTAATTAACTAAAATAATTAAAGAAAATTTAAATTGACTTTGAGTAATACCAAGACTTGAAATTTTAAGACATTCGATTTCATCATAATCAACTGATATAGAATTTAAATTAATATACTTTCAAGGTATTTATTATTTATGTGATAGCCGGATTTCCTATCCTGTTTGATTAACTCATTATATCTCTATGTGAATTTAAATAGATAAAAATGTATTATATTCCGTAAAATTTATTAATTTAGAAAGAAAATTAAATCTACTTATCACTAATTTGTAAAAATCACGTTAATTCATCTCTGACCTCCATTCAATTCATAGTATATATTACTAGAAGTTATTGCATAAAATCTCTTCTCGGTCTCAACTATGCTCTCCAAATTAGTTTTAATGGTGATCAATCATTAAAAAATATTAAGAACAATAATATATACTCTACATAAAATGATAAACTTTGAAAATGTAAAAATCATAAAACTCTATATTAAATTGATCAGGTTACATTATAATCTTAGATGGCTAAATCAGTTCATAATTTTTTAAAAAATCAACAATCTCATTATAAATATATAAATATTTAACATCATAAAATAAAATTTAAAGATGATATAAAATCTTAAACTTTTTTTTTTTTTTTGTTGCATTCTCCTCAACTGTCTCTCTCTTGATCTCCTCTCAAAAGTCCCTAAAATTGATTTTTGAATAGGTATTTATGGAGTTTGAAAAACCCTATTACAAAATAATTAGGAATTGAAACGGACGCTGGAGGCATGGTATCGACACTGTGAATTACGTGTCGACATTACACTCGTGTCGGATTGCAATTTCTTTAATGGTAAAAATGCAGATCTGGTCCTTCAGATTTTACATAATGAGAACTTAGATCCCAAAACTTAAGATTCATTCACTTAGGTCCCCAAGAAGTAGACCTGACAAACGGGCGGGTTGGGTTGGGTCAGATTAGGGTCGAGTTAACTCGGGTGACGCGTTATACGGGTTGGGTTATAAATGGGTTGCGGGTTAGAAATATCCAACCTTAACCCGACCCTAACGGGTTACGGGTTAACCCGCGGATTAACCTTATTTCATTCTTTATAATTATTTTTCGTTAATTTTATTATACCAAAATAAAATTATATATATCTAAATATAATTAAAATATTGTGATTCATTAACACTAAATATTTTATAATTTCAATTACAAGCATTTAAATTAAGAAAAAAAATAAAAAGGTTATAAATAATAATAAATTGATTAATAATAAAAATAT